CCGCTGAACCAATTCTTCAATTTCAATCTTGTCGAGGCTCGAAGACAAACTACATCGAATATCATCATGCCAAGATTGCAAGAAAGTCGAACATGGACGATTCTAGTGCTCTTCCGATGCCGATGCGGAAGTGCGGGAGTCTACATTCCGAGCAATGGGTGCTATCTTACGATGTCTTGGCGAACAAGCAGCACGAAGGTTGTTTGGTGAACTTTCAGAGGATAAAATAAAGATGGGCAAGGTTGGGAAGTATTAAATTAGAAAATGAACTATTACTATCGTCCGCTCGAGTATTTAGATTACTGAGAATTTCGAGAAAATTCGGGAAGAATTTGGCGATAAAGCTGCTCCAGAAATCATTCGATTGCATGGGGCAGAAGCTAAACCAAAGGTAGTTTATCTTTATCAAAACTTTAGCACTTTTTGAGGCCGTTGAGACTGCAGTATTCTTTGCCGATAGCCTGATTCTCGTCATTCAGCATCGCTGTTATTTCAGCACTAGGGCAGTGTTCAGTTTTAGTAGAATTTTTGCAGTTTCAAAGGTAGATATCTGGATTATCGGATGAGCGGAGACTCATAACCAATGCAATAACCCTCCTTTTTGTTGCTTTCCTTCTTCTAATAAGGCGGAAGGGGCCCGCAATTGGTGTGTGTTCATGCATGGTAACGAGCCCACGCCCACCCGAATATTGCGAAATGGGTCTCTAAGCAAAAAGTTGGAAAAGGTTATCAGAAAGAACCTAACCAATGTGCAAGTGTTTTCAGCCTTCGCAAGCATCAACTGCGTCAACGAGAGTGTCTTCGGCCTCAGCGGCAACACGGGGAGTATCGCCTGCTCCTCGTCTTCCTACTCGCCCAGCTAGTTCAGCTTCTCGACCGTCGGCAGCTGTATCGAGAACAACGAATCGGGCAGCTACACAATCAACAGTAGCCCCGACCAATAGAGTGCCATCGAGGCCAGCAACTGCTCCAAAAAGGCCAAATGTAGTTACAGCGACGACGGCTGTGCGTCAGAGTAGTACGTGTATTTTTCGTTTTTTGATTAATCCGCTAGCAATATGCCCGTTGCTAAAGAATACTTCCTTAACGAGAAAGTGGTTTGCGTCAGTCGTTTTCTTTCTGAATGGGGGGGGGGAAGACAAAGCGGGTGTAGGTTCGGGACCCTTTGATGACTACCTTTTGCCGCATTGCAATGCTAAGAAGCAAATCATCGTAGCAAGTGAACAATTACAGAAAAGTCTTGACGCAGTTCCAGTGAGAAAGGATGTTTCGGTGCCGCCAGTTCCCCTGGCTAGCAGTCTTATTTGCATTTCTCTATTTGATACGGTGGGGCGCGTCTGTGGGAAGAGGGGGGGGGCAGTCTGCAGTTCTGCGTCAGCGCTTTAGTAGCCTGCGGTTTTTGCGAGCAAGAGATCTCCAGATCAGGAGAATCTTTTATCATTTGTGAGAAGTTGGATGTGTGAGCCCGCTCACCCAATACAGAGCTCCATCCATGCCCCGGCCCCGTCGAAATCACAGGCTACCATTGCGCCAACGCAAAATGCGGTCTAAACCTCTCGAGGCGCATTGCGCCATACCCTAACACAAATGGTGAGAAAATGGCGTCGAATGAAGCCCTTAACATTCCGGGGTCTGAGGACTCATTGTGCAAAGCCTGGATAACCGTAACAAAAAAAAACAATGAATCAAATTGCCCCACTTCACTGAAATTGCTCCACTTATTACCGCAAATTGTCCTTGATTTCTCTCTTTTCATATTCTGAAGGTCCTGGTGGCAAAACGGTGAACCAAGCGCTGTAAAAGATAAAAATGCTTCCGCGTGGACAGCTTAGAATAATGAGGGCAGGCAAAGCGTTCGAATTAATGCTCGCGGTTCAGCTCCTGTACGTGCCCCGCTCAGCACTCGTCCTACTCAATCGTCGACACCAAGACCGTTTTCTGCCGCCACAAAACCGAGTGCAGCTTACCCAGGTAAGCGTTTTCCAGTGTAACTGGTACTCTCATTTAAGGGCTAATTTTAATTTTATCGGGTGTTCAGCTCCTTCTGCTCGAGCACCTGTAAGACCGGTTTTTGCGCCGAATGTTGTCCGTGCATCGACGAATTCTAGCAAGCCGGCTTCAACTGGGCCTGTCAAAGTAATTGTGAGCGTTTCTACTGACCTGAATCATGAAGTGTTCAGGCAATACTCATGGATACTTCAGAAGTAGAGGTCCCTAACTTAAAGTGCCTAATTCAGAGCAATTCCACAAGTGCTGATGCGCCGAACACCAAGAGGTTATCCGAAGTTCAGCTGAAGGTCACAACTGGTTTACCGCGATCGAACTCAGGTACTAACAGAAGATGGCGCTATTTCTGAACTTTTTCTGGGGAATATGAATGTTGATGAGCACTCGGTA